GTGGCTACAGGTGTCCTTAAAGTGTACTGTCCCTACCCAGTCTTCAAGCAGAGCGGGTTTTGCTTCTCACTTCCTGCAGTCCCCTGTGTTCTTTCCAGCAGGCTGAGGCCAAGCCGAACTCGGGGGCATCCTAGCCCCAAGCTTTAGGGCTTGGGCCTACACGTAGGATGCCCGCCAAAGGATTTGGCAGCATCTGAAGCCCCAAGTTGGGGGTGGAGGATGTTTGCTGGTAATAGGGCCACATTTGGTTCTTGGATGATTCACAGATTTGTAATTGATTTGGCTGATTTGATGTGGGGGACACACAATTTTCCTTAAAATTTAAAAAAAAAAAAATCTTCAGCGTCTGGGCAGCCCATCAGGCAGTGGAGTAATTGGTAGCAGTAGCAGGCTGTGGACCAGTCACTTCAGCTTGTACTTTACCAGTAGTTTTACAGCTGCTTGCTAACAGCAGAGAGGGGAGACTTCAGGCCCTGGAAGGTTGGATGCTGTAGTGGTTCTGGATCCTGACCTCCTGCCCTGCCCCGTGTTTCTCCTGGTCCTTTCCTGACCCTTCTGCTTTCCAGTGCTTTCACATCTTCTCCATGCTGCCAGGGTCCCAGGAGGCATGGGGCAAGATGGACAGCGTGGAAGGGAATCTCTTTACCCTGTTCTTCCACGCCTTGCCACGACTCCTAGATGCCTGGGGTGGGGGAGATAATAGGACAAGTTCAGTACAGTCTCCACAGACCTGGCTTGGGGCCTACTCATGTAGATGAGCTTTTTGGAGACCAGTCTTGGCTGAGTATTCAGGAACTGTGAATTTTTGCAGAGACTTCTATCTTGGCAGCGTTTGGGTACATTGCCAGGGGACTGGCAAAAGGCACATCCCTAACACCAGGGTGGGCCTCCCTCCCATTTCAGGTCTCTGCTGAAAAGTTGGGAGGTGCTGGAGCTCCTTGGTGTCAGAGTTTGAGAATCTTTTCTGAACTGATACAGTATTTTCTCCCATCTATTTTTTTTTCTCCTTCATCAGCTGTTTTGGCTGAAACTTGAAAAACAGTTCAGCCAAAGGTAAGAAGACTTCAGCTGGAATTGCTAAAGTTCAGCACTATTATAAATAACCAAAATGGCAGCTTAATTGTGGGAAGTGTTGGGTGCACCACCCAGTAAGTGGTGCTACCATCATATCTTGGAATGTGAAGCAAGCACAGCTCCGTTCCCCCTAGTACCTGGAGTTTTGAGCTCAAAGTCCAGGGTCTTATAACTTGGTCAGTAAAGGCTCCTGCTTTTAGATCTGCCAGAACCAGGTTCAGTCATCATGGCTGATAACCTGCCCATAGGTGTTGAGTTTAAATGCAGCCCACCCTTGTAGAGAGCGGCAAAGGAGCTGTCTGTCTTTTTGTTGGAAGACAACTTCACACAGCTGGCTTATTTCTTCAAGCACTGTCTAGGCTCCATGCGTGTGTGAGGGCAATCTCAGCCATGTGGAAGCTGTCTTGAGGCCCCCATTCAGTTGCTTTGGTAGTGAGCTTCTGGCCCAGTCATTCCTCCTCCCCCTCTTTTTTTTCTCCTTATTTTCCCCCAAAGTGTCCAGAGAACTTCTAAAAATAAGGCAATTTGTTAGCAGAAAGTTAGCATTAAAGGGGCCTATGGTCAAACTGATCTCCAGAAACTTGGCTTTCTGGTCAGTGTTACATTTTGTTACCTGGGATTCTCCTTCCCTCTGGTATATAATCAAAGCATTAAATTCATGTTTGTCACTGACTTCAGGAGTCAAATGCAAGATCATTTAGATTGTAAAATAGACTTCAATAAATGATTCTTCATTTCAGGGAGGAAGCTTGGTATGTGTGTGTTGAGCAGGCCCTGATCTCGTGTGCCCCAGACACAAAGAAGGCAGCCGGGGCGAGTGGATAGCGAGTGGCCGGATCCAAGCTGGTGGCAGTGGTGCAGAGTTGCCGTGGCCACTCCACCTGGCTCTGTGGGGCCCCCTCAAAGTGCAGGGCCTGGGGCAGTCGCCCCGATTCTCCCCTCCCTAGGGACAGCCCTGGTGTTGATCATTATGGGAAGTGAACTCTGGGAGCCCCTTTCTGATATCATCTTTTGCTTTCCTAAGTATTTATAATTCTTGTTTCTTCAGGCGAATGACGCCTACCTTCAGATGGCCATTGGGAACGCACCTTGGCCCATTGGAGTCACCATGGTTGGCATCCATGCCCGAACTGGCCGTGAAAAGATTTTCTCAAAGCATGTGGCCCATGTCCTGAATGATGAGACTCAGAGGAAATACATTCAGGTAAGGTGCTGAGTGTTAGGCTCTGGAATCCAGAGACTTGACTTTCAAAGTTAGAATAGTGCAGCTTTGTAAGCACGAATGATGTGGTTAAAAGAAGTGCTAGATATGGGCCGTTGCCTTCTGGCTGGGACCCAGGATAGTATCAGTTTAATAGCCAATGCTTCCTGGACCTGTGAGCACTCTTCTGCTCTGGTTTAGAGATAGTTAAGTAGGTCTTATTACCATGGTCCTGTATCAGGGCTGAAATAACTACAAACACATGTTTTGTTCTCCTGGGTTCCATCATTTCCTAACCCATTGCCTTACCATCACGTCTTGCACAGAGTTTATGGGCCTCTTGTTGAATTGACTTAACAGCGAAGTGTAAGGTGTTTCCAGCTTGGCCCTGTACTTCCGCAGCTAGCCAGATATGGTGACCCTTAAAGGGACATTTTGCATGTACTCACAATTGCAGTTCCAGAGGGAGACCACTTTATAAAAATGTCCCAAATTTATATAAATGTTTAAAAGAATGAGGTGTAAGAATTGTTCTTATTTCTTATTTTTTTCTTGGAGACTGTTTGAAACTGTAAAGAGCCATGCTTCTGGGTCTCTTCTCAAATACCTCAAATTGAACGTCTTTAGGTAATTACCATCCTGCCAACCTGCGTTTGCTAAACTGAAAGGCTCACCAGCCGAAAATCTCCCAGTTAGGAGTCTCTGCATAACTGTATGCAATCTTCCTTTGTCTGGCTGTGGGTAGGAGGCTCAGATCTGAGCCACTCAAACACATAGTTAACCATACAGCCATATGTCGAGCTAGCCTCAAGCATGTGTGTTCCTTCTCTCTGCTGTAAACACCCAGAGCCTTCTGTAACCAGCATTGTTTGAATTTGGGTTATGAAATATTAGCATTGTTCAGGCCAACAATATTAGGAGCATGTTTATTTATTTATTTGATTTATATGCTGCCCTTCCCCAAAAAGGCTCAGGGAGGGTTACAATAACAGACAAAATAACTCAAAAACAGAATGAAAGATTAAAATTGGAAGGTACAACAAAACAACCCTTGGACTTCCAACCCCTTCACCCCACTGCTCACACTCTGACCAAGGAGAGCCTCTCCCAACTCCCAGTCAGTGCCTCCATACAATAAAATATTTTCTTTCCATATTCCCTCCCATCCCTACCTACTCCCATTCCCATGCCTCACACCCAGGGGAGCCACCTGCCCATCACCACTTTACTGTCCCTCTCAAGCTTGTACTTCCCTTTCTCGTGGTGGGTGTGGCTGTCCTTCACAGCCACCCATCCTCTCCTCTGCCCTCCTCCCCCCAAAGAAACACTTCATTTTAGTTAAAGGATTATAACAAGAACTACAATAACTGTTGTCCCTGCCCGTGCACATAGCCCTTTGCCCAGAAGTCCAGAGGTTACAGCATCCTTAATGGGCGATGTCTAGTACATTTTCTAGATTCATCACTTAACCGCAAAGAAAGCCAAAGTCATCCAGCCTCTGGGCTACTTGACCCAGCTCATGCCTCCTTGCAGCAAGAGATGTTATTCTACAACAGGGGCGGGCAATTATTTTGGCTGGAGGGCTGCTTAATGAGGTTTGGTGAACTTTTGAGGGCTGCATGGGTAGCCATGCCTCTTGACAGTTGCCCCACCCCGTTGTTGCCATCTTGGGACTGGAAGTCTGCGCCTGACTCTTGACCTTTGCCAAAGAAAGTCCCTCCCCTTGCCCCCCAGAAATACTCCTTTTGGGAGTGAGGGGTGCATCTTAGAACCATAAAAAAAACAAACAAATCATACACTAAAAGTCAAGCAACTACTATAACATTTTAAATGTTATTACAAAAAATATTTTGTCATGATTTGTTTGTATAATGTATATAGAAGGAATTGCATAATCGCCCCCCCCGCCCCAAGGGTGTGCAGCCCCTGCCAGCAGCAGCAGAAGCCGGAGGCGCTTGTGGTGCTCATGCCTGGTGCAGGCGCTGCCACCCAGCACTTGGTTCCGGCCAGGCCGCCTCGGACTTGATTTATCTGTCCGCGTACGATCTGCTCTGCATGTGAACTGAGTGCAGAAAATGGTGATGGCGTGCTTTTGAATTAAAGCGCCTCCAAATGTGTTTTAGTTCAAAAGCGTGCTGTCGCCACTTTTTCAGCACTGATGCGCATTTTGCTGCTTATACAACTGCAAGTGTCACAGCGTCAGGCGCTTTTCAAAGTGCCTGGCGCTGCGATGCTTGCATGTGTGACAATGCCGTGAGTGCTAGTGCTCTAATTAAAGTGATGAGAAAAGTGCATCTCTTCATTGGAAGCCTGATGCTCATTTTTGTAAGGTTTTTCTAGTTTTCAAACCTAGACTTTTTGGCACCATGCCCATGCAGGAGACCAATGAGATGACTGATGCAGCTTTTCATTTTACAACTGGTTTTAATGTAATATAGAATATCAATGATGAACAGGACACATTATAAATTTCCTTCCCTTTTAATAATCAGCCATTTAAAATAATTTTTAACCTGATGGTGTGTCTCCTGTGATGGGGGGCCCACTGTTTTCCCAAGGACAGTTTCTAGTATAATAGATGTGATGTTTTCCTATAAAGGTAGACGGTCTAATTTTGCAAGTTCTCTCATACTCCTTTCCCACTTCAGAAGCATTCAGCTACTCATTCTTTATACTGCTTGTACAAAAGCATGGATCTTTTGAAACTTGCTTAACTTAAAAATCATTATAGTGGTTTCTCTCACTTCCACTCAGCAATCGGAAGCAACCATCAAATCATCGTTTGTTTGGTGGCTGCAGACTTCTGACAGAAATGTCCTTATTTTATTAACTTTCTAGGGGTTGAAGAGGCTCATGACCATTTGCCAGAAACACTTCCCAACAGACCCATCGAAATGTGTGGAGTACAACGCGTTGTGAGGCCCTTTCGCATCCAAGGTGCAAATCACTTTCTGCTCCTCAAGACTCGGAGAGTGATGAAGATAACAGCACATTTATGCTTGAATGCAGAAACTCAGGGTGGGCCTTGGGCAAAAGCATAAAGTAGGGGCTTTGTCTTCTGCTTGATTTTTTTTTTTCACCAGCCACATCTACTTACATTTCTTAAGGACTGTGTATTTTATACTCGGTGGATCCAGGACACACAGGGGTTTTTTGGGTGGTTGTGTGAGGAGGGGGGAGCACGAGATGGCTTTCCTTGTTTTTATTTTAACCAGTTATTCAGGAAAGCATACCAGGCTGAACTTAATTTCTCTTTTCCCATAATTCAGATGCTTAGATGACAGACAGCAATGGGGTGGTATTTTTTGGACTATT